TATCAATGACGAACCTATTGTCACCACTAACTTAATTTCACCAGCATTTTTATACGTAAAGTCTTGCCTGCAAGATTGATAAGCTGCAAGAGTTTTTAGAAAATGATCTCACATCGTAGCAGATGACAATATTATTGCAAAAGCATATATCGTAAATTTATAGTTCTGGAGAAAAAAGTTCGCTATATAAGATTACTATGTTTCCTTAAGAGGATAAGTTGAAAAAATTTATAGATCGATAGATCTAGAGTTTGTTATTAAGGCTATTAATTGTAGAGAGAGTTGGTCTCATACGTAGCCGATCTCATGTTTAATAATATGTTTTGGTGCTGAGAAAAAGGACCAAATTAACAAAAAAAGAAATTTTGCGGAAAAATTTTATATTATAAATTTTATAATAAAATTATAAGAAAATACAAACTTTAAAGAGTTATACAGCAAAATTTTATTAAGATAACAATATTTGTTTCTTAAGTATAGGATAATTTTGGATTAGGTAAGCTCAAAAAATATTTTTGAAAATTGTCAATTTGGTCCCTTTTCTCAGCACCTAAGCCCATATAAATCTTGAAGTATTACCATTAATAATTAGGAGGCTTTATGGTTTGTATCTGAGTAAATCCGAATATTTGTATCCGGGCGAACCTGACGGTTTATATCAGAATAAACCTGAGGATTTGTATCAGAGCAAGCCTGATTATTTGTATCTATAAGTGGATTGGACATTTTTGTTCCGTGCCTTCTTCGATACAATATGAAGCCAACAGCTGCTAATGCGCTAACAAAAATAATGGAGCCTATTACACCACCCACTATTGCACCTGTATTGGGCGGAGATGACTGAGATGTAGATGATGTGGATGTGGATAAAGTTGGAAAGGTGCCTGTAGTTCCATTTCCCTTCGGTTTAGGTTGAATTCCCAAAATAAAGTTCGTCAATTGTAAATCTTTCGAATCTTTGGTGATGTCTGCAATCGCAATTCCGAATAAATTATTATTTTTTATATAGTCGAGTTTAGCATTTAACGATTGATAATCTTCATAGAAAGTAACATAGTAATATTTTGAAGAATTTTGTTGATAAAGATATGATTGTTTCGCATTGCTAATAAAACCATAGGCCCATTGTGACGATGAAATTAAATTTGTAGGACAAAATGATGAAAATTGACTACTTAAATCTTTCCATGGCCAATATGCATATGATGAAAGGCTACATTGATCTGAAATCTTTTCATTAGGAAAGGGGAAGCTTAAATTTGGGTCAT